ATACAGTGTAAGGTCTGTAAAGGGTTTTACTGCATTTTAAGATGGAATTCAGCTTATCCAAAACAGTAATAAAAATACTGAAGAGAACAGGACCAGGTTTATTCTTTATGGCACCTTATTTGATACTATCTGTAGTTTGATGAGAAACTATTCATGACTACTCTTGGTACAATTTTCAAGAAAGCTATCTTAATATCAAGTCACATTTAAGTAGTTTACTAATCATGATTTCATGGGATACTTCATCAAATTATTTGCTAAAATTAAGATACATTATGTCTACAGCATTCCAAAATCTATTAAAAGGAATTTTCCCAGTTAAAAAAAAAAATGAGAAAGGGTGAGGCTGGCAAGACTTCCTCTGACAAACCCATAATGACTTCTGTTATTTACCATATTATTTTTAAGATATTTAAAGATTGATGTCATGTCTTAATCTATAATCCCTGGATTATCCTTTTCCCTATTTGACTTTCTCCATCTGGAGACTGGGTGTGTATTGTCATGCAATCTCACTTTCTTCACTACACCACACATAGGACCATCAATCATTCCTATGTTAACTGTAGGTTTGCCAGCCAACCCTTTGCTCTGGCACTGCCTTTCCACATTTACATTTTTTCAGTGGACCACATTTGGAAATTTCACCTTTTGGGCTACCAACATTTAGCAGATGGATTTATCAATCAGTCCTCAGCTCCAGGACCTCCTCCCAGGTATCCTACATTTATCTATTATGTATCTCATGCAATCATCCATTTTACTTTTTTGGGCACAGCCATATGCTTGCACATGCCTTTATATGTTTGCTTGAATAAACTGTGTGTAAAGTTTGAGATTATACTCTTCCTTGATTATCTGCCCTCTTTCCAATCTTATATGTGTTTGTTCTTTCCAGAAATTTACAGTGCTTTTTGTGTAACCATATTGGTTTCTTATACTACCATTTTTTTAATTAGATTTTTTTGTATTTGTGGTTGCTGGAAGTATCATGGTTGGCAGACTTTGATGCCAGCTTGCAAGCTTAAATGGTTTTTAATAGGTATGTGCAAACCATTCTGTCTTTGGAAGCAGAACATATTTGAGAATTCTGTAATGTTCCCTTCTTTATCTAGACCATGCCTCTCAGACATTCTGGAAATACTAACAGAAGAGAATATATGTGGCTCAGGGTTGAACTGTGGAGTCCTTGAGGTTCTCTGAGCTTGGTTGTTTTCTTGCAAACA